TGGGGGCCCGATGGGACTGGTTCTGTAGGCAGGAGCTTCCCCCAGTGCTGGGGCTCTCCTCCCTCCGCCTCCTGCCCTTGCCGCAGCCATACAGCCCTCCTGCGGCGTCCCCGGTGGTGCTGAGCCCCCATCCATGCTGTGACCCCGGGAAGTCAGAGGGCTCTGATACTGCTCCCAGAAGCCTGTCCTGGGGAGGGATGCTGAGCGCTGGTACCATCCTGCCCACCCCAGACAAACCCAGCGGAGGAATAAAGAGCATCCTCTGCTGCTCCACAGTCATATTTTCGTGCCAGCCCCGTTGCTATAGAAACTCGCCTGCCGGAGCGGCTGCTAATTGAGATTCCCACAGTGCCACCCTGCCTCCCAGCCCTGCCCAACAGCCAGCGCTTGGCACACGGCGCAGGCAGCCCCCCAGCCCCACGTCCCCACCAGGCAAGGGGGGAGCTCCCCCAGCCTGTGGGGTGCCCCGGGGCTCCCACCTGGGCGATGTGGCACTTGAGCTCGGCGCGCTCCATCTCCCAGGCAGCCTTGGCCTTGGTGAACTGCTGCTGCAGCTCACTGGCACCACGCCGCTCCTCCCGCAGCTCTGTGCACAGCTCCTTCAGGGTCACCTTCATGTCTGCCAGCGTCTTGATGCACTCGTTGGGCTGCCAGGGGATTGGGGGTGAGCGGAGGGAGCTGGGGCCCCATGCCAGAGGGGACCAAATTGGGTGGGACCCCATGGGAGCTGCCCTCGCTGCATCCCAGCCCTGCAGGCTGCCCACCCCCGGGGTGAGGGACAGGGGGTGCCACCAGGGCAGGGGACCACACCTGGGGGTGACATGTCAGTGGAGAGCAACCCCTCCCAGCCACGCACCCTGGGAGAAGCATCGACCCCGTGCCACGCAGCTGCAGCTGGGGCTGATCCCACCCACCCCTGGGCTCGTGGGGACCCCACTCACCGTGTTGGGGGTCCAGGCATCCCCCGTGCACGTCTTGTTGTCCGCCTGCTGCTGCGGGGCGAGCTCCTCCTCCTCCAGCAGCAGGTACAGCTCCTTCATGCTGTTCACCTGCAGGAGACACACAACCGGGTGATGAGGGGACCCACAGCCAGGGGTGGGGGACGCCCAAGCAGCCCCGTGTGGGACACATAGGCATGAAGGATGCCCGACAGAGTGGTGCCACCTCCATGGCAGCCGAGGTGGGAGCCCCTCAGCCCACAGTACCTCCAAAAAGTCCTCGCCTTCACTGTGCACCATCTTGCCCTGGCGCCAGCGCTTGAGGAACCACTTGAGCTTCATGAAGAGCAGGAGGAAGCTCTGCCTGAACTGCTGTGACTCCTGCACCAGCAGGTTCTTCTCCTGGCTCCAGAACTTCTGTTCCAGACGCCTCTGCAGGTTCAGGCTCTGCAGCTCAAATTCCCGCCGTAGCAGAGCTTTCTGATGGTCCTCCTTCAGCTGTGGAGAGACACGTGGGCTCTGAGACGGGGCCGGGCAGCAGCGATGTGATGTTTCTGCCCCAGAGTCTGGGTTGAGCCTGGTGCCAGCCCTGTACTTAACACCCCTGGGAGCATGCTGGGGACAGTGAGGCCATCAAGGCATCGCCATGGATGGAAGCCCTGCACGGAGGACTGTGCTCAGCCCTGTGCCCCTTGAAGATGGGACGTGCTATGTGTTGTCCTGGGTGTCCCCTGGGTCCCCAGGCAGGTTGTCAGCCTGGGGCTGGAGGTAGCATGGCCATGGGGACATGTGTCTCCCGGGGATTGGGGCTGCTGCCTGCTTACCTGGCAGATCTTCTGTGAGAAGTTGTCCACCTCGTCCTTCCTCAGCTGCCTCTCCTGTGAGAGCTGCTCCTGCAGTCCCCGCAGGCTCTCGTTGGCCTCCGACAGCACCAGCTGCAGCTCCTTCATCTGCAACAGCCCAGGGAGGGGATGGGGACGGTGGGCTGCGCCTGGTGGCACCTCCCTGCGTCCCTCCCTGACGGGGCTCTGCAGCTTCCCTTCTCCCCCTGTCCCCGCAGCCCTGTCCCCATCCCCGCTGGCCGAGGGGACGCAGCTCCGTGCCTGTGTCTTACCTCGGTGGCATAGGAGTCGTTCTCCTCAGGCCGGCAGGTTTTGTAGCTCCGGGGATGCGTGGGGTCCGTGTCCTTGGCATGGGGGATGCGGTAAGGGTCGGCGTCCCTAAAATCAGGCTGCTGCATGCGTGGGCAAGTTAATGAGAACAAACCAAAAGAGCGGGAAGAAAAAAAAGCCAGAAAACAAAACAATGGGTCTCCGAAACAGTAAAGAACTACAAGACAACAAAAAGGATGAGAAGGAGCTTCATCACCATGGCGGGAGACAATGCAGAAACCAAAAGGAAACACAGGATGAGGAGACACGTGGCCTGGATTGTTTAGGGAAAGGGGAAAAAAGAGAGAAAGAGGGAAAAAATGTGCAAACACCAGTTACGGTGCCATGCAGTGACTGGGGGAGACTGGGACCTGGGGCTGGTGGGACCACATGCAGAAAAATAGGACTCTGAACAAGCGAGTGTGCTCCAGAAAGGGGCTTGTGCCCGCGACCCCAACCACCACGGACATCCCTGGCCCCTGGCATGAGCAGAGCCCCCCGGCGAGGTGGGGGGTGGCAGGGCATGAGCTGCTCTCCTCTGCTCCGAAGGTGCTCCCCGTCGGATGCAGACTTGCCCTGGAGCCTCTGCTCTCCAAATTACCTTGCCTGGGTACCACTGGGGGCTGAGGCTTCTCACAACCGGGGGTCTCCACAATTTGGGCTGCTTTCGGGAGGCCGCAGGCTGCTCTCCTCCCACCCAGCTCATCCCCAATAAGCAAAGAGCTTATTGGAATGTTGGGCTGAGCCAGGGGAGAGCGGCCAAAACATCGGCCCCTGCTAAGGTGGGATCACACCCGAGAGCCCCCGGCCATGGGCAGGGCAACCTCGGCACAACCAGCCCATGCCGGGACGCGCCAGGATGCCACCACCTCCTGCCCTGGGCACACTCTGTTGGAGCAGAGTCCTACCTTGTCCCCGGTGCCACTGGCATGCAGCGAGGTGTTAGTTTGGGTTTTGCTCTGGAGAGGCAGGAGGGAGGTTACGTCGGGGATCGGGGTTTGCTGTTAAAGCGGGAGGAAACGGAGCGGCAAATAAAGCGGCGGCTGCTGCAGGGGAGGTGGGAAGAAGCCCGTACCTGGAAGTCGGAGGCGTGCTCCTTCTGCAGCCCCT